CAGCTAGGGCACCTGCGGCCTGGAACTGCTGCCAGGCTTGTCGGAGCAGATGGGAATCCAGGGGACAGGGAGGCTGAGCGACTGAACGCTGAATTGATGGCGATGGGGCACGTAGGGCAGGGGTGAGATGAGCACCAGGCTCGCCATTCCCTCGGGAGGGGCTCCACATGAGGTCACAGCTCTCCTGATGCACCTTCCCCTCTTCCCAGGTGACTTCTATTCCTACCTGGTTCACATCTGGGGGGGGGCCCTGGCCGGGCAGCCCCCCCACATTTCTCCTGCCCTGAAACACGGCTCTAGCCAACCTGCTCCGCTGCTTCACCTGCGACCGCCTGTGTGGGGGCTGCACAGCGCCGGCCCCACCGGCCCGCCAGGGCATCGTCCTCCAGCCCGTCATGCCCAGCTGTGACCCTGGCCCGGGCCCTGCCTGCCTCCCCACCAAGACCTTCCGTAGCTACCTGCCCCGTTGCCACCGCACCTACAGCTGCATCCACTGCCGAGCACACCTGGCCAAACACGATGAGCTTATTTCCAAGGTACGCCACATGGGGGCCTGCCACTCCCCTCCTCTCCCCACCAGCCTGCCCTTCCTCCTCCATGCCCCTGGGGATTCACTGCCTGTCCCCTGTCTCCACAGTCCTTCCAAGGGAGCCACGGCCGAGCCTACCTGTTTAACTCCGTGTGAGTCCACCTCTCTCTTTGTGTGTGTGCTTGTGTGTGTGCATCATGTTCCTCTGTGGACAAAGAAGGTGAGCCACCAGAAGGTGGCCTTGTAACTCTGCTTTGCATCCCCTCTTGCAAAGGGGCTCAGAAGCTCAGGCTGCAGTTCTCTTGTGGGGAGTCTGGGCAGAACTGGAATCCCCTGTTGGAGGAAGGCCCAGGCACTAGTCTTAAAGGGGCAGGTTGCTGAAGGCAGGGGCTCCCAGTTGGGCGGGTTAAGCTCTCCAGATGGAAGTTCCTTTGGGCTGTTGGGGGGCTGGACTGACAGAGCGACACCACTCGGTGCTGGGTCCCTCCTGTTTCTTGAGACAGGGTCAACGTGGGTTGTGGGCCGGCAGAACAGCGCCTTCTGCTCACCGGGCTCCACTCGGTAGCTGATATTTTCTGTGAGAGCTGCAAAACCACACTGGGCTGGAAATATGTAAGTACAGGGGAGGGGCGCCCTCCCAAACGGACAGTCTCCATGGCCCTCCAAGCCCCAGTGGGGTGGACTGGGTGGGGGGGCTTTCAGGGCAGGGGTAACACAGGAGGTAGGAGGGCCTGGCGGGGACTGCGTGGTCCCACATTCACCACTCCCTCCCCACCAGGAGCAAGCCTTTGAGACGAGCCAGAAGTACAAGGAGGGAAAGTACATCATTGAAATGTCACACATGGTGAAGGACAACGGCTGGGACTGAGGGGCTCAGGCAGGCAGTGCCCTTCCTCCGCATGCCCCACCCTCCCATACCTGTCTCCTGGCCCTGACAAGCGGTCTGTACCAGCATGAGTACTGCTCCACCCCTGGGGGGATCCCGGCTCCCACCAACCCCTCCCGCCTCCACCTCATCACTCCCAGGCCTCTTTGGAACAGGGGTCTGGGGTACTCCAGGGGTGTCCAAGGCTCAGGAGTGGGCAGCAGTCAGGAGAGAGGCAAAACTTGGGAAAGGGGTGGTTGTGGATCCTCCTAGCCCCAAGGTCCTATAAATGGAGGAGATGGCAGGCCGTGCGTTAGGCAGAGGCCAGTAGGAGGAATCTGCAAAAAGCTCCACCTTTTCGAGTAAACAGAGGACAAAGCTTGAGTCAGGGGCTGGTATATCCTGGGCCACTGAATATCAGAGAAAAAGCTTGGGTTGGGGTGAAGTTTGGGCCTCATACACAGGGAGAAAGCAGTCTCTGAGGGTGAAAGGAAAAAATCTCAAATCCCAGGCCCTGGGAAATAAAGGGATCACAAGGGTTTCCATTTCACTCCACTTGTTTATCTTGGCACTAAAGAGGCACTTTCCAGTATCTAACCTTTGCCACTTAGTGGGATGGGGAGAGCTGCCTCGGGAGCAGCCCCCACCCCCAGCTGGCTGTTTCCGGAGTGAGCGGTCTCTAGGGGCATTCCCTGAGGCCCAGCTACTGCTCCCTGGGACGCAGTCCCAGGGAGGGGAGGCGGGAAATCAGTGCTACGGGGCCAGGCTTTCTCGTGGCTGCCACCAGCGAATGAAACTTTTGTATGATACATAAAGTGTTTGGGTTTATTTTTAATAAAAAGAGGAAAAGCAGCTATGAAGTGCTGTCCTCTGACTTTCCTTCCTTGTGCAAGTAACCAGTCACCGCCCCCCCCCCACCGTCCCTTCATGCCACTAGGGGGCAGCAATTGCTTTGTCTGTGGCAAAACCCCACTGGAGTTTTTACTAAGGGATGGGTATTCAGGTGAGGTTTTGTTTAGTAAGAGGGATGGCTTTTGTGAGTCATTCCATTTGGAGCATCCAAAAAACAGTTTGAGTCTACTGGAGCCCTTGATGATTAATCAGTTTTGCCTGGATTCATGATGGGACATCTGGAAGAAACTCCTCCCAGAGCTAGGGTGTTCTTGGGTCCCATTGCCTTTGTGCCTGATTCTGTCATATTTTGGTCAGCTCACGGCCATACTTAAGGCTAAGAGGAAAGTCGCCCAGCTAAGGTGCTGCCCTGGCAACTGATACAAAATGGAACAAAACAGTTCAAAATTGCAGCATCAACACAATCATGTGACCCAAGTGCAATTTTTTGGCAGTGATGTGAAGTTGCTATTGTTGTTGGGTCACTGACAACTTCGGGGAGGACTGTACACATTATAAAAACCAAATAACAAGCTAGCTTGTTATTTCCAGGTTCACTCATTGATACTGCAAATATTTGCAAAGCAACTATTGCTTTTCAGGCCTGGTGTTAACCACCGGAGATGCAAGTGAAGAACAAGGCAGCATGGCCTGACTTCATGGTGGTCTAGTGGGAGGACAGACAGTCATCAGGCAATTCCAATAGAAGGTGACAGGATCTGAACAGGGATGGGGAGCAATCTTGGGAGCTTGCAGGAAAGGCTTAGTCAAAATCTGAGTCAAAAATAAAAATCCGAGTCAAGGTAGGCTTAGCGAAAGTGATGACTGTGATGGCACCTGCAGGATGAGAAGTTGGGGGGGGTGAAGAGTGGGAGGTGGGGGAATAGGTCAGGCAGAGAACTGCGTCAGGTGGCTCTTACTTAGCCAATTTGAGGAGGAAATAAAAGTTTCCCCTATCTGGAGTATAGGTACAAATGGGTGAGAGATGAGAGGACACTGGAAAGACAGGGAATCAAGATTTCATCCCGAGGGCATTGGGAAAACACTGAAAAGTTCTTGTTTTTAAACAAGAGTGGAGTGGCATCATCAAATGGCTTTTTTGTGCCCAGAGAAGACACTCAAGTAGAACCATTAATGGACTGAAGAAAGTACGGGACATAAACTGTGTAGCATCTCCAATACTGTCAGATGTGAGAATGGAGCTATCTGGGCAGAAGAACAGAAGAGAACTGGAAGTCAGGTGCAAGAAAGCAAATGCATGCCCATCGGAGAGGCCTTGGCGGGGGGGGGGGGGTCTGTCCCCCTGTTCAGTGTCTGCATGCCTGGTGATGTCTAGAGATCCTCTCAGGCTCCAGCGAGGGACCCAGAACCCTGTCCCTCTTGGTCCCATTTCTTGCAGCAAAGTTCAGGAAGGTTTCTGAAGCTTCAGTCTCGGACCGTGAAAATCGGGCACAAACTAGCTGCCTTCTTAAGGCTCCCCAAATATGCCTGTCTCTCAACTTACTTTTAAGCTCTTACTCAGCCAACTAGGCACTGTGGGAAGCAAAGAAGTAAATGGCATAGTTGTTGCTTTCAAGATCCTGCTATCTCTCCTGGAAGAAACCTTCTGTGGGCTCTGCCCAGGGATCCTATTTAGTCTCTAAGATCAGCCTGTGGGCAATGCCATCTAAATCTTGGATGTCCAGACAGGTATATACCCTCAAGAAACATCATTATCAAACACCTGTGACCAAGAGAGGTCATGCTGGGAATTACAGGTGGATATAAGCTCTCCTTTCTATACCCAAGACCCAGAGAAAAAGCCACAGGCGTTGAATGCCAGGAGCACCCATGTCCTCATCCCTGGGGAGCAGTGTTTTCAAATTAGCCCTTTTATCTTTCCTGTGCGTCCGCTTTTTCTCATAGAGGTCTACTCGGGTCATAACAGGGATTCTCCCAATCTTCTCCATTCACCACCCTCCAGTCCCAAGCCACGGCTGAGACCTCAAGCCAGCAAGCCACCACTTTTATCCTTAAAGGCTTGAGACTTTGGAAGACACCCTCATACAACCAGCAGGTGGCATTCAAGCCTTCCACCCCTCAGCTCAGTGGAGAACCTACCCAAACCTCTTCAGATAGTTCTACAAAAAGATAGGTGAACCGTCAGATTCAGGACAAGGTTATATCCAGGCTCTGCAATTTAAGAGTTATATAACCTTGGCCATACTGCTCAAACCTTCTGGCTCAGTTTCTCCATCTGTGAAATGGGGTTATGGCTTGCCAAGAAGTTATTAGTGCACACCCACAACGTAATAAGGGTCTAGCACACAGATTTGCATGTAGAAGCGCTTCCATAAATGTGAGCTATTCACCTGTGATAGTGAGGCTTCCCGAATTCCCACTAGGGTAGCTGATTGGTGCCCAGATGGGAGAGGAAGTCTTGATGCTGAGGAGGCAGCCGGCGCTGGTAGCACTACACGGCCAATGCCCTTTTAACATTGCACTGCTAGTGGTAGGTGCAGACAGTAGCACAATGTGAAAAGAGCTCCGGCCTGCAGCAGAGGCGTGCCGGCCCTGCCTCCTCACCCCTCTCCCAGTTCCCGGCCCACTCAGCCTCCCTCGGCCCTTCTCATCTTCAGTACAGCTTTCCTCCCTTCTCCTCCGTTCCCAGTGTTAATCCTCTATTTTCGCTCCACTCCTTGCCTTCTTCCTCATGCTCGCCCAGCACTGCGGCCACCTTTTTCTTGAGTTTTGGCGTGGGGAACAGGGTCCAAGGAGGCAGCCGAAGGAACACCTTGAGCTTGACTCTCACTCTTCACAGGAAGTGACTGGTGGAAACCCCAGAAATTTTGGGGACACTCAAAATTATCTGGGTTTGTGTCTCTGTCAGCTTCTCTTCTGGAGAGAAGCTTGCCCACCAGGACCACAGAGCCCTCTATTCTTCCCTACTTTAAAGCTCTCTCTCCTTTTTAGATAAAGGGGGGTTCTAGGCCTCAAGGGGACATCTTGGCTGAAGCTCCAGGACCAGAGGATGAGGGAGTATAGTCACAAGTCCCCAGGCAGCACAGATAAGCTTCCAGGTCTGGAGGTGGAAGCCGTGAGTGACGCCATGGCCCTGTATCTCCTCTGATGTCTTCAAAATCCACTTTATGGATTCAACATGAATCAAAATGGGGAGGGTGATTCCGTCTCTTATACTGAGTGGTAGGGATAGGCTTTCACTGGCAGTGGGATTCGAATCGAGGCTGCTTCCTATTTCATCCAGGGACTCCCGTTAGGAAGGCTTGGAGCTTACCCAGGACTTCCCATCCTACCCTACAGGAGGGGGCTTAAACTCTGGAAAAACCATCCCGAGACTGATTAAAACCCAAGGCGCAAGACTGGACCTGGAGAGCCAAAGGTTCAGAGCCCTAGCAGGACACACTCCTGGCCAGAGCTGTGGCCCCAGAAGCCCAGCTCTAGTTCTGACCCGGTGAACTGTGGTGTACGGGCCAGGGAAGGCCTTTCGACCATGCTGATGCCCTCCTCCCCCATCCACGGCCAACAGGAGGAATGGAGGACAGAATTCCAGTTGGGAGCCCTTCCTCCGGGCTTCCCCTCCAGCCTTCTCCCACCCCCTCAGGAAGCAGGAGGCTCTGCCGCCCTCCCAGGCAGAGTTTGTTCCTGTCATCTGCAAACATGGGCCCTGTCCCCTAGTTTGCACAGTTCTAATGGGCGGAAACTAAGGCCCCGCTAGGGTCAGTCACCAGGCCTCTGCTCCCGGGTTGGGCAAACCAGTCCCAGCTGGGAACTGGATCATGTCAACAGAGGGGGAAAGACAGGACTGCCCCGCCAGCTTTAGGGAGGCTAGAGGAAGATCCTTCACCAAGGAGTGCTCCTAGCGAAGAGAAGGGAGAGGGGGGCTGGGGCCAAGATCCCCTCAACTCTCACACCCAACTCCTTCCAGGGCGGGATTCCCTGCAACTCACCAGCCAGCAGGGCCCCTCCCCCACCTTGGGCCCAGGAGCCATCCCCGAGCTCCTTCCAGAGGCGGGTGTAGAGGCCGAGGAGGAAATGGGGGAGGGGAGGCCCGGCTCAAGTTCTCTCTACTCCCCCTCCTCATTGGCCACCATCTTCCGGCCCCTGCCCCCCAGAGCAGCAGGGGATGGGGCCCAGCCTGTGGAAGGGAGAGAAAGGGCCGGTGAGGGTTAGCTGGAGCAGCGGGGGCAGCGGCTGGCCCCAACTGTCTCCTCCCACCCCCTCCCCGCAGCCATGGCGACAGGAGGAGGAGACCAGGAGGGTCCTGAAAGCCATGTTCTGTGAATGGGATGAGAGGGGTAGGGGGGAAGAAAGGGGTGAGGGGCGCTCTCCCTCCACACCCTACTGTGCCCCCCCCACACACACACACCTCGAGGCTGGACCACACGCGCGCGCGCGCGCACGCACGCGCACACACACAACTCTCAGTCACAGTTGCTGCACAACTCAGCCCTTACTACACACTTACCCCCAACAGCCAGCCCGGGAGTGGAAGCACACTGCTCCCGACCTCCCGCACCCCGTAACACCCCACAACTCTCAGCT